AATAAACAGTAATAAAGACCCCCTTTAATTTTGTATTCACGAATTCAAATTTATTTGAGATGAGTCATTTAAAAAAAATCTGATTCGTCCAGTAAATTTATTTAGAAATCCTTTAGATTTTAATGTTTTATTATAATAAAAAAAATTATTGAAAACTATTGATTGCAGAGTTAAAGTGAACTTGGTCATATAGCATTTTATTTGAACAAAATCCAGAAGAACTTTTGATATAAAAAAATCATTCATTTCTCAAAGTATTGTTGAAATGTTTCTATAAAAATTATTTCTAACACCTAAGAGTGCTATTAAAATTCTTTTAAATGTAATGAGTAGAGCCTTACAACAACTGTAAGGTGCGTTTTTTGTTTGTTTTATAAATATTAGTACAATTAAATCCGGTGGATGATAAAGCGAGTAGCACTTAGTGTTTTGAAACGTAGCCAGCTTTATGTTCAAATGTGATGTCCAGTCTCAGTGCCAATTATTTATCAAGAGCGAGATATTTACCTCAAGGATTTATGGCGAGGCTGACCGGACGATTTGTTGACAATTCTAATTGTTCAAATAGATTTTTCTATTGACAGTCGATTATTTATCGCCATCTGCAATAAACTATGTACTTTCTTATACTAATAGTTCCTGCTTTTTGTGAACAGAATTGGCGCAATTGAGAAAGTTCTTATAGTTATATCCTATTGTTTACATAGATTCCATAAATACAGTGCTCTCTCCCTAATCCAAACTTTGGTACTCGGTACATTCTAGTAATCCGTTCTGGAAAATTTTGGGAGTCAGAAGTTTTTTTTAAATTTTTAAATTTCTTATATTTTTTCGTTTTATTTGGAATTTACAACTATATAAATAACTGCAACATGCAAATGCAATGGTGTAGAGCATAATTGATTTCTATTGAATTTGAACTGAGAATTTTAAAGTAAAGAAACGAACATTATTAGGGAGGAGGAGAGAGAGAGAGAGAGAGAGAGAGAGAGAGAGAGAGAGAGAGAGAGTGAGTGAGTGAATGGGAGAGAGGGCGAAAGTGGTAGATAGTGAGAGAGAGAGAGAGAGAGAGAGAGAGAGAGAGAGAGAGAGAGTGAACGAGAGAATGGGCGAAAATGGTAGATAGATACATAGATAGATAGATAGTAGAGAGAGAGAGTGTGAGTGAGTGAATGGGAGAGAAAGCGAAAGTGGTAGATAGTGAGTGAGAGAGAGAGAGAGAGAGAGAGAGAGAGAGAGAGAGAAAGTGAGTGAGTGAATGAGAGAGGGGCGAAAGTGGTAGATAGTGAGAGAGGGAATGATAGAGTGGGAGAAAGTGAGGGAGAAAGGGATAAAGGAGAGAAAACAGTACAGTATATATAATACTGTATTAGTATTATTCTAAGAGGGTATGTTTATGGAATTAGGTGAGTTTTGTGTTGATTTTTTTAAAAAGTATTTTACTTCTAAATTTTTTCATCAATCCTAGTACCCCATGCAGCAATTCGTATGACTGATAGCACTGTATTGCGAGGATAGGAGTAGGTCATCCTAAAATTTAATGGTGAAAATATTTAATATTTTTCTCTTTAGATAAATCATAATATTTCAAATATATTTTCCACTGATGCTGGTGAGACGTGGAAGTTTCGGCTTGGTCTAACATTAAATCCCTCTATTTTAACCTTTTTTTTAATCCGAGCTCTGATTGTTTCCTTGCCAAATCCTGACGTTTCTAATATTTTTCTTTTCTAATAGGAAATTAAAATAGAATCAGCACTTGCTTCGTTCTCTACTCCAACGATCGCATTTCTATTAATATTAATCAATTTTTTTTTAAATGTATGAATGTATTAAATAGTGTCAAGAGTCAAGCTAGATTTGTTTCCCTAATGGATTTTTGATTTTCTTTAAATTTATAATCCTTTATTCAAACCTTTACTTATTATGTTTACATCATTATGTATTACAGCGAATGCAAAACAGGAACGTCTGATATGTTGTCTTTCATAGATCAAATTTACAAGAACTATGCGGTATCCTATGCGTAAAGATCAAAAAGTATTAAATTCGAACATTAGAAAAACACCTGGATATTTTAAAACTTTCATGGGGACATGTTTTACGCAATGAGTGTGGAGTTTTTTTAAAACAAAACAACTCGTTAACATAGAAATATTAATAAATAAAAAAAATAAAAATAAAACAACAACAAAACCAAAAAATATGGTGATGACTAAGACTACCAAAAATGTCTAGAATCACAGCTCAGCATAAGATAAGTCCGTATTCGGTCGAGTAATATTTAATAGTATTGGGTTGTCCGGAAAATAATGCAGGATTTTGGTATTAAACAAAAAAAAAGAAACTAGTTACTTTAAAGCAATGTTCTTTAATCAAAATAATTNAATGAGTAATCCTGTAAACGTAAACAGAATATTTTATATAGATTTTTTTTAATGAAAACTTAAAATCCTGCATTATTTTCCGGACAACCCAATATTTAAGGATAAAGCTCTCTATGCGCCGATCATGTAGCGAAAGGTCTCAATTCCATATAAATGCAAAACTGTCGTGCTATATTGTTACCCCGCCTATATAGCGATTGTTCTCGGTCGCATTTTAATGCTTTTATTAATACTATTTTAATGCTTTTATTAAAAAAGCTAAGTCGGGGAGGTGTTGATATGGAATATCACGTAAATCAATAATCATATGTTACTAGGGGTGTATATTCATTTGGAATTCATATTTACCGACAGTCAATTTTATACTTTGCATGCTAAAACAAGGGAAGAGAATTATGTTTTAAGATAGATCTACTTTCTGTGAAACAAATGCGATAAAGCACTTCTAATTAAAGTATTTTACGCCTTAATTCAATTGCTATTTAATATGGTACTGTATCCTGGAGAGGAACACAAAAATACAACTAACCGTATAAAAGCTCTTAAAAAAAGTTGTGAAAACTATGTTTCATTGTCATAAAAAGGAGCCCTCCCTATATTTATTTTTTTTAAATCATAAACTCTTGCCATTACATTGCATTTGTATTTACGAGAAGCTTCGTGAATTTTTCAATAGAGGTTGCAATTACATTGATGTATTTAAAAACATCAATGACAAATTAAGGAATTCTGCTAACAGTAAGTATCCACGGCCTAAGTGTACACATGTTAAATTCTTTTCTATAAATTTTCTATAAATTGCCCCCAAATGGCTTAACATGATTCCTCCTGTATTAAAAAGTGAGTTAAAAAAATGAAATTAAAATCAAATGTTGGCTGTTTACCGTCATTGGTGAGTTTGTTTTAACCTAAATTCATTTAATAATTTAATTATTCAGTTGACTAACCTCGATTTGTGATTAACCTATAAACTAGCACAGTTTGGTAATTTTTCATTTTATATATCAATTTATTACACATGTTACGATCTTTGCGTAGACCCCCGTCACATCGAGCAACTCGTGCAACGAGTGTGAACAAAAATCAGTGGCACAACTCAAACAAATTAATTAAAGAGAAGAAAAATCGGGACCTGACCCAAATAAATTAAAACAACAACCTTTTAAAATAAGTGTATAAAAATTTAAAAAAAGTGATCAGTGACATACGTATTTCCTTGCCATTTACAATTTTAAAAAAATGTGTGTCTTCGACAACGCTGAATAAGAGATCCTTCCTCGTGCTTTCAAGTCTCAGCTCGCTCCCAACCCTCAAAAAATATTATTATAAAAAAACTCTTTTAAATTATTTCATTAAGCACTTCCTTACCATATTTCAAACATTTGAAAGTTTAAGAATAACAATTTTTATATTTTTTTTCTTTTAATTTTTTGGGAAAATTTTTTTATAACAATATTTGCTTAACAACAAGTATTCTCCTATGGGTTAGGATAAGCTAATCCCCAAGTGTAGGCTTGGCAGAGCGACCTGAGACTCGAAAGCACGAGGAAGGACCTCTTGTAATTAAAAAAAGTGTAAGTGGCAAGGAGATGCGTATGTCACTGATCACTTTTTTTAAAATTTTTTATACACTTGTTTTAAAAGGTTGTTGATTTAATTTATTTGGGTCTGGTCCCGATTTTTCTTTTCTTTAATTAATTTGTTTGGGTTGTGGCACTTATATCTGTTCACACTCGTGAGTGCATAATATGTATAATAAATTGATAAATAAATTGAAAAATTACAAAAACTGCGTTAATTTATGAGTACGCAAATGGGAGTAAGTCAATTGAATAATTAAATTATTAAATGAATTAATGTTAAAACAAACTTACCAATGACACTAAAGAGGCAAGCTTTGATTTTAATTTCATTGTTTTTAAAATTCACTTTTTAATACAGGAGGAATCATATTAAGCCATTTGGGGCGAAACTTAATGTTAAATTCCTTAATTTGTAATTTATGTTTTTGAATATATCAGAGTAATTTCCACGGGGACCGCGGTAGCCGAGTGGTTAGCATGAGAGACTCTCACGCCGCGGTCGTGGGTTCGATTCCCACCGTCGCCCTAACCATCCCTAACCATCCCAATTTGAACACACAAGAATTCGTACTATGGCTAATATGCAAGATCATAAGGCCAATAAAAAAAAATAAATAAAAAAAGTAATTGCCCCGCCTATTGAAACATTCACGAAGCGTCTTGTAAATACAAATGCAATGGCAAGTTTATGGTAAAAAACCTGCTAGTTGCATTTTTGTATGCGCCTCCGCAGTATACAATACCATATTAAATATCTAATCGAACTGAGACGTAATATACTTTATCGAATTGTTTCGCAGAAAGTAGATCTCACCTAAACCTCTCTCCTAACTGATCACGCAAAAAAAGTAGGACACATCTGAAGAATAAATTTGCAATGATCTCCCCTCAACCATCCCCTTAGCAAAATTTTTCTAAGATTTTGATGGTAGACCTTAAACAGGTAGCCCCTTCTCTAGGGTAGCTGGATGTGACTCTTATACTGCAAGTTTGTTATGGTTGTGTTCAATGAGGACTTTCTTGTTTTCAGAAAGAGGTGAGGGATGACTTGCGCCGTGGGCAAAAGGATTTGGGACGAAGAGCTGGGCGGGAGAGGAGACGGCCAACCGCAGTCGAAGAAACGGAGGTCATCGTCGCCCGACAGCAAAGAAGGCCCGCTGGAGAAAAGGCGTCTGCGGAGTCCCTTCAGGCCCTGGACTCCGGACAACTTCGTTGACGACGTCCCGGACGACAGCGCGTTGTGTCCGCCCCCGCAGCGTCGAAACTACAAAAACATGAGTCGGGAACGACGGATCGAAGCGAACGCCCGGGAGAGGACCCGGGTCCACACCATCAGCGCAGCTTTCGAGACCCTCCGGAAAGCCGTCCCAGCTTACTCTCACAACCAGAAATTGTCCAAACTCTCCGTCCTCAGGGTGGCCGCCTCCTACATCCTCACCCTGTCCAGGATAATAGAACAAGATCGCACCCCCAGCGATAAGAACGCTCCGTCTCTGCAGTCTTGTATTCAGTCAGTGACCAACGCTATTCAGATGGAAGGCAAGCTCAAAAAGAAAAAAGACGATTGAACTCGAAAAGTTTGAACAGTTTTTCAGGCCAAACGCCTACTAAAAGAGCCACCTGGCCACCAGACCAAACTTCACGATTCATGTAAATTTTGTAAAGACTGATACCTTGAACTGATTGTACATATAAAATATATTTGTAAATAAGAGGATTTATATTGAAGAAAGTTGTTTTAGTATCGTTTTAAATTTTTTCCAAAGTTGTTAATTTCTAATAAAATTATTTCTTGTTGATTTTATATTTTAACTCTACATTTCCATCAACTTTGATACCATATCATATAAGTTTCCAATGGATTAAAATTCAAAAATTATAATGATGATGAACCTTCCTTAGAATGGAGAGTTGTTTCAACAATTGTAAATAAGATTGAGCTATTGAACTGTAACTTCAGACCATGTAAAAAAAGTAAACTGAAGTGATGCCTTTCATACAATAGGGCTAATCGTAACTTATGTATTCAATCCATTAGAGTTCGTAGTCCGATTGACCAAATAACTTCTTTCAATTAATGTAAGGTATTGGCTGAGATAAAAAAGTGAGTGTCACGAGCGGGATTCGAACCCACGACCTTCGGCAAAATACGCCGCTGCTCTACCACTTGAGCTATCGTGACTTCGATACACACGGACACCAACCTCCCACCTCAACCCACCTTTCGAATTTTCCCTCCGTTTTGCCATTTTTCCTTTTTGCTTATGTATTAAGTAAAAAATCATACCACTTTACAATACTTTGTTTCCACCAATATTTCACAAATAAAGCAATGCATTACTCTTTAATGAATCGATAATAAAACGAGAGATAAGGAGATAGAATATGAACATTACTTAAAGAGAAAATAACAAATATGAAAAGTTAGAAAATGAAAATAAACATTAAAAATGAAATTAATTACAAATAATACAAATTTTAATATTTTTTAGTAGAATCTAATTGAGAAAACTATCAATAGGCAGAAAACAGTGTTTTCGATATATGTCTAAGATTATTTCATGTGGAAATGTCCAAAAAGGGATAAAAATTTGTAAGGAGAATTGAGGGAATTGACGATAAAAGTGGTCCAATTGTTGTATCTTCTGTTATTTATGGAGCAATATTAAATAAATGAATATTCTTACAGATGGGTCCAGTTTGAAAGGAATCTGAAAAGAAATAATATCGAAAATGTGAATCTACGGACGAGGGCTCACCTATTTCAGTGAAACATTTTTGGCGATACTAGGCGGAAAAATATTAGACAGGAGTCCGAACGTTCCTGCCTAAGTTAATTTGTTGTTGTCACCCTTTAAAGAACGTAAATACGGATTTTTATAGGAACCAAAAAATAGAATTGTTGGGCTGGTTTAGTCGGGGGAATTTTTTTCTCCGAGGTCAGGTGTTCTAGTTAGAAATTCATAACTCCTTTGGATTTTCTCTAAATTCAACGTTATTACTACCTTTAAAAAGCTAAATTTCTTGTATTTCAGTTATTGTCAACAAAGTATTGACTTTATGCCATTATAAGTGAGAAAAATAAGGATGAATTAAAGAAAACCTCCTTGAACGTTTTATTCTGTACCCAGTCAAACTATGGCATTACATATAATTTACATGGTTCTAAAATCCCCTTTTAAGTTCCTTGTAAATCAATTTAAGTTAGCAACACTTTTGTGATTTTCGAAAAAATCTGAGTCCAAAGCCAAGGATGTATAACTAAAAATAATAATACTTTTTTATTTTATCCACAATTGATATTCCAGAGGTATATACAATATTTTTCCTACTTGCCAAAAACGCGCAAAGAATTAATCTGCATGCGAGCAAATTCAAGCTGTTACGTATATGTACAACACATTTTCTGACCGAGTTTTTTTTTAGCACAAAACTAACGCTGATGTTCCGTGTTGCGTTTAAAAGTTAAAGCACCTCTGGATTTTATTCACTGTCCAAGATATTAGGTCTCTTGGAAAAGTGCATTTTCCTTGTTTGAGCTTATAATGACATCCTTTGAGTTTTATATCATATGTGAGAAAAAAAGGACAAAATCAACAAAACCCTTGTAAAGAGCTTTGAGGATCGGTGGAGTGGTTTGAAAGTTATCACCATTTTTGAGCTTTAAATAAAATCGATTTGGAAGGAGACAATTTTCTCATCTTTTCCAGAGAGAGAGGGAGGAGATGGATGGATAGAGTTAGAGAGAGAGAGAGAGAGAGAGAGAGAGAGCGCTGGAAACAGAGAAAGAGAGAATGAGATTGATAAATAGATAGATAGAAAGATAGATAGATAGAGAGAGAGAGCGCTGGAAACAGAGAAAGAGAGAATGAGATAGATAAATAGATAGATAGAAAGATAGATAGATAGAAAGATAGATAGATAGATAGATAGATAGAGAGAGAGAGCGCCGGAAACAGAGAAAGAGAGAGAGAGAGAGATGTGGAAAGAGGGAAGGAGAGAGATAGATAGATAGAGTGAGAGGGGGAGGGAGAGAATGAGTGAGAGTGAAAAAATACTTTGGTGGTTGACTTGTCAACAGTTTTATTTCAAAAGTTGCAAAGCAAAGACTATTGAACTTATATCAACGTAATTCACTAACTTCAGTGGTGGTTGGTCTATGTGCTATTTCATGAAGTGTTTCCTTACGCTGCAGATTTATTCCCAATAATGTCAATTCACCCCCATCAATCATATCAAAAACGATATGATCATACATATATCATCATACATCATATACATATATCATACCTATATATATCATCATATATCATATACATATCATCAGATCATATCAAAAACGACTAATTTGAGGACGCTGCGTGAAAGATGGTAAAAGGGTAGTTCAAAACAATTTATTGTTTGTTGTGGTTAACATTGAATAGTCTAAGTTTTAAAAATAATTTTTTAGACACACAAAGTAGAGGCAAGACACACACACGTTACTTTTTTGCCAAACCAATACTAAAAAAGATTTTTTGACTATATTCAAAAGCCACTCTAATTGTATTTGCCAAGAACAAAATTTAGTAAATTATCAAATATCACATATTGCAAGCGAACAAAACAGCCCCAATTTCTAAAAATAATACACATTCCAGATCTTAATTAGTGAAGTGCCGAAACGCGTCTGAAAGACCAAAACCAGCTAGGATAACCAAAAACGACTAATTTGAGGGCGCTGCGTGAAAGATGGTAAAAGGGTAGTTCAAAACAATTTATTGTTTGTTGTGGTTAATATTGAATAGTCTAAGTTTTAAAAATAATTTTTTAGACATACAAAGTAGAGGCAAGACACACAAACGTTACTTTTTTGCCAAACCAATACTAAAAAGATTTTTTCACTATATTCAAAAGCCACTCTAATTGTATTTGCCAAGAACAAAGTTAAGTAAATACCTAGGAATTGTCTTTGACAATAAATTAACCTTGAACCCTTACCTACAACACATCATAACATGAAGTAAAACATCATTAATGGCCACCAGAAGAACCTTTGGTAAATTTTGGGGTCTCAACCAAAACTGGCACATGGCTACACACGGCAGTGATAAGGGGTAAGGTACCCTATAGCTCATCAGTTTAAGCTAAAACCTCAATCTACCTAAAAATTAGTCAAAATTCGTCAGTTTGCAAAGATTGGTAAATCTATGCGTCCCAGGGGCAATGACTACAACCCCATCAGCTGCCTTCCAAACACAAGTAAACCTCCATTAAAAACAAATAAAGGAGGAGAATAAAAGCCCAAACATACTTTACAAACAAATATAATTGGTATGGATTAAGGATTTTTGGCAGGCAACATTAATAAATAAACTCCAACGTCCATTCCTAGAAATGGGGACTGGCTCTATGATTCAGGAAAGATTCTTTAAACCATCTTATAAAATCTCAATAAACTATAAAGAATAAAACAAAATCAGACAAAAATCAGATTAATATAAAACAAGTGAACGACCCAAATCAGGTATTTTCTGTACAAGCCCAAAATATGAGCAATCGAACCCATTAGGGGAGTACAGCTCGGTCTTTCAAGATGAAATACTTGCTTGCGCCATAGAAAATTTTAAAATAGGTCATACATACAAAATTATCGCTATAAGATAAAATAGCTAAGCAGCTATTGAAGCATTAGCACGTAAATTAGGTCACATCCAAAATAGTGAGTGAATGCATCCAAAAACTTCAAAACTGGGGAAACATAACACCCTCATATCGTGGGTGCCAGGACTCAAAGGAGCTTTTGGTTAGGTATAACAACAAGGTAAACAACCAGACACACTGGCTCGAGGAGTATTTGCAAGATCTAGAACCTATAAACCCTACTGTGGCTTAGCATCCTGCCACAAAAGAGGATCCATCTTAAAATGGATCCTTAATGATTCCAAAACCTTGTCGAGGAATACCACAGGTATGAGGCGCAAGCACCGAATAGAAGTGCAGACAAAAGAAACACTGTGCAGATACTGCCAGGAAGAGGAGACCGCAGAACACATTCTATGATTCTGTGAAGGTCTATGTTTGTGCAAGTTCTTGCAATTAGGAAGAAACAGCGCAAGCAAGATCCTAAACTAAGGGGCCGCTTGCAAACCTTTACAGGCTGATTAACAACCTCAAGCTGGCCAGTGAGTTATAAAAAACAGCACAATAGATCTATTCAGGTTGAGATGCAGAAGGCCTAGTGGCCACCTCTTTTATCCCTATCCCCCTACCCCCTAAAACCTATAATTTGGATTAAAAAATCAAACATAGATTTCCTTCTCAGAATGCTAGAAGTGCCAGTCATAGTAAACTCGTGATTAAAGATCCTCACCAAAATTGGCAAACCAATCGCTACAATTATACCGAGTAAAAAAGTAGGTTTTAATTACCTACTACCAACTTAAAAAGTAGGTTAGTGATAGGCTCTATAACGCATCTGAACAATCTGAGAAAATAACTACTCAACATTGGTACAACATTGACTCGTTTATGAACAACTGCTCAATGGAGACTTGCGAGAATTGCAGAAGTGTACAAGAATTGCAGCAATGGCCTACTACTATAAAAACATGATCGAGTGAATTGAACTGAATTAAGAAACTGAAAAAAGTACTATAAACCAAAAGGCCGGCGTGCTTGATGTATACCACATCCCTGCTCCCTAGTATTCTCTTCCTCATCATCATCATACGAACACGTAACTTCCTTGCCAAACCTTATTAAAACTATTTATTTAGAAATCGAGAGATGCGGTCTGGTGTGATGTAGGTGTCAGAAAAACAT